TATTATCCGCTTTGCTTTCCGAAAATTACAGGTCTGTACGACAGTTTTTCAGTTTATAAAAAAAAAATTAAGTGCTCTGAAAAGCTTACGATGGGAGTAGCATTGTAGCACGCATCGGAGAGAGAGAGAGAGAGAGAGATAATAAAGGAAAAGGCCACTTGAAACAGACAACATAAATGGTATTTATAGAAATCGGATGATGACTGGTTTAATTTGGTTGATAACGGGGTACATGCGGTCTCTTGTCAACACGGTAATCAACCTTGCTGGTCCATAACGAAGATTCTCCAACAGTACGCCATGTTCGCAGGTGCCCGAGAGGATCCGCGCCATGAACGCGAGCTTAAAGTTGCTTCTGATAGTACGTGAGCCAGTTACCCGCGCCATCTCAGACTACACGCAGCTGAGGAGTCACGCTGCCACGGCTTCGTCGTCCTCCATGGTCAACTCGCCACAGCGGAGCTTCGAGCAGCTAGCAATCCGACCCGACGGCTCTGTGAACTTGGCCTATCGGCCGCTGGCCATCTCACTGTACCACACCTTCCTTCTCCGGTGGCTGGAAGTGTTCCAAAGACCGCAGATCCTGATAGTGAACGGTGACCTCCTTATCGAGGACCCCGTACCCCAACTTCATCGCATCGAGAAGTTTCTGGGGTTGGAACCACGGATAGGCCGACACAATTTCTACTTCAACCACACGAAAGGCTTCTTCTGCTTGAGAAACGAGACTGCTGACAAATGTCTTCGGGAGAGCAAAGGTCGAAGGCACCCGAGGGTGGATCCGACGGTAATAACTAAGCTACGTCGTTTCTTTGGTGAGCATAACCAGAGGTTTTATGATCTTGTGGGTGAAGACATGGGCTGGCCAGAGGAATAGCTGTTTCTCGCGTTTAAACATGCCCCGTACGAGAAGACACAGTAAGAGAATTGTTCACACGGGTTCAAAGTCGAAGACGAGTTGCTGGATACAGTTAATATACCCCCATTCGTAATTATTTAGAAGCCAGTGTGTGTTTACATGAGTCGAGTGGCAGTACCTCGTCCTAGCGCTTAACTAGTGCGAACAAGCCTCAACAGAGCGTCGGCCGGCCCTTGGAGTGAATGTCTAAGTAGCCTCGCTCTAAAATATCGCTCACAATATTGGTCACTCGTTGCCAGGAGCATGCAGGACAGTTACCTCCCAAAACATACTGATGCAACATGACCAAGAAGCCTCTTCCGGTCATTAATCTGAATTTCGTGAAATTTGCAGGGGCTTCAGATCGCGTTACAGTAGTCTGGTGAGCGTTGCTTTATATCAGTGGTATTCAAACTTTTTTGTTCGCGTACCCCCAGATATAATTTCTCTTCAAAGTTGTTGGTGTATAATTCAAGTTATACGTAGTATATAATCTACATCTAAAATAAATTAAATAAATTAAATTACTGATTATTCAGTGTTTATCATAAAATATTTTTTTTTAAAATTTCACGTACCCCCAGATATAATTTCTCTTCAACTTTTTACACCCAAAGTTGTTGGTGTATAATTCAAATTATACATATTATATAATCTACATCTAAAATAAATTAAATAAATTAAATTACTGATTATTCAGTGTTTATCATAAAATAATATTTTCTTTTTAAAATTTCACGTACCCCCCCTAAAATGTCTTCGAGTACCCCAGGTTGAATACCACTGCTTTGTATCCCAATCCCGGATAAGTCTGGAGAAGGTAAAAGTCTCAACAATGTTACGGTGGATAGGACACTGATGCTCTAAGATATCAAAAACGCGTGTTAACGACATTCGTGTTTACGATTAAGCGTAACACAGGACTAGACGGTGTTTGGTTCACTGTACAACACCAAATCTTATCTATCTTCATTGTTATATCGTGAAAATGTCGTCGAGCGTCCCAAGGCAACGAGGGTCCATTATTGGTTCAGTCCGGTCTTCCTCAGAAGTGGGCAACAGTTCGCATCGGCCGGCTAAAACAATGAGGGGTCAGGTAAAATACGTCTCAGACGTTAAACTTCTAAAAGCAAAGAACATTTACATGTTCATAAATAGAATTTAACGAATAATTTCATTTGTATAATAACAATTGTGAGCACAAAATAACGGGGGGGGAAAATTGTGATCTATTTTAGTTAAAATGACTCAGTTTGTTGGTCATGGCGTTGTTTATAAGAACCTGGCCCCAAAATCTGGATCATATTGGTCTTTGATACAAATAAGTTATTTTTATAATCCATATTGGAAGTTGTTAATAATTGTTAAATTAATCTATTGTAATAAGCGGGGGACACATGAAAACGACAGTAACGCAAGTACGTTGGTAAACAGCAGTTCAAAGAACACTTTTTTTTTGTGAATAATTTAGTGATTTCGCTCAGGCATCACTCAACACTGGCCGTAGTTTTACAATTCCTCAACGCAAATCCACAATGCATGACAATGCTTAATAACTCCCCACTCAGCGAAATGAAAAAAAAACAAATTTTACAACAAATCCAAAAAGTGGCTGGGAGTTAACATTTTTAAGTGAAAAAAACAAAAAAACAAAGTCGATTATGGCAACAAAATTACATAATTTTAATTACACGTAAATAAGACTTCGCATATTTAAAATGTTGTTAAATTTATATAAACGATTATATAAAAAGTAATTAATTATATTAAATGCATATCGTAGTCTCCTTTATAATGGAATTCGATTATATTTCGCGTCAAAGCGTCGCCCGAGAGACTCACTTAAATTTATCATAAGAAAATAGGAGGCACCACTTTACATGAATTCTTTCACTAACTGCGGAGTGTGCAGTTAAGAAATGAGCTGTTAAAAACGCCTTCTTTTACCCGAGTTTCTACTCGTATACAAACACTGTCACTCTAAGTTGTTCTTCCTGGAAACAGGTGATGATAGTTTCATTGTTACCACGACACGGCTGTTAAATTACAATTGTAAAATATCAGTATTATCTTTCCTGAAATTTTGCCGACAATTTTGTAATATCGTTCAGTAACTGTGATACAGGAATGCAATCTACGGCAATAATTACGTAACCTTGGCAACTACAAAAAAAGTAATACATCGTCTAAATAATATTTAAGAATCCAGTCCGTACCGCGAAGAAAACACAACACTTCACCATTACGTAGATCAACTGGTTAACGCTGTTTATTCTGAGAATCGTACGAAACACGTAAATACACTTTGTGGGAAGAACACAGAATTATTGATTGCTAAAGTAGGTGGTACATATAGTTACCTAAGCTTTGAAGGGTTAAGATACACCACATTACTATTTTAAGTCTCCATTTGGTGCTAGTCGAACTTTTTTATTGAAATGCAACGGATAATAAGCATCCACTGTTACATATCAACCACATTGCTCAAACCGACATCTCACAGATGTTATCAGAGGTGGGAATAGCCCGGGACATCCGACTCACAGAACTTTCACTGGACTAAAATTAATTCATCATAGTTCTGCCTAATATATACAACATCTGAGGTTATCACGACAGTGAAGATGTCGATGTTAAGTCTGCTGGGTTATAAAGCCATTTTTAGCCCTGACGATAGAGGCAATATGTTCCTACGAAACGTTGATACGTATCTACAAGTCCACACGGCATTACAACCCAGCAGACGAATATCTACAAACCAGTAAAATATTTTGGCTGAGTCTCTTGTCATTGTAAGGAATACAGACGTAAACCACAATACGAGCAATCGAACAGCTGACCTCTGGCACTGGTTAATTCTCGCCTCTGAAATGTTACTACCGAGTTTATTTGTCAAACAGCACTTGTTACAGTCGCCTATGTCATGATTTCTACAAAACATGAGCTATTCTACACGCGGAGTTTATTGTTGTTTATTGATCGCGCAGAGAAACAGAGGCTGTAATTTAATTTAATATCAAAGCTATCCCCTTTGTGGGAGAACAGCGTACTGTCGTATTCATGGGGGCCCTTAATATTGGGGAGGTGGGGGCTCTTTGTGTCGCAAGTAAAGCTGCCCGAAACTTACTTTCTGAGATGCATTGTGTGTCTCAAAATAGCTGGATACACGGGGTGTAGTGAAGGGGTTGGGGGTTGGATTAATAACACCAGGAACAAAGTGACCACCGACAGAGGGAGGTGTCATACTCGGCTGAGCTCAATAGAGCATTGTAAAGTAATTTAATCTGTCTTGACTACGCAAATAAGTCCGTATGAACAGTTCAAGAGTGTAACTGAGTACAAACAAGATGCAGATCAACAAATTGTTTTCCTTTCCTTTTAGAAAAGAGCTTAGAGGGTACAGACACCCTCGAAAGCGTTATATCTGTTTTATTAATGGTAACCACAAAGGCTCCAGGGCGGTTCTAGCACGAATTCAGTACAACATAAAAGTATTCTTGATGTATGACATTTCAAAGTGTAACAAGATTAGGGGCTTGGGCGCTGAGTGGCCAAATACCAGCGACGTGTTGAGGTTCAAAAGTCAGCCAGGTCGTAGATAATCGATAGCCGTGTGACACTTCACGGAATAGCAGATTACTCACCATTACTCAAATCAGCCAAGAAAATCATACTCGGAGCGTTCTCACTTTATAGGCTCACTTTAATCTTTGTTCCTTTATACAGGGTGTTCTATTTGATAAGAGTTAAAACTGCAGACAACGGCGATAAATAAAGAACAAATAAATGTGAAATGTTGCGGGTTTTTGTGTGTCCCACATTCAGAACGACGAACTAGTAATTAAAAGGAAATTGGTCTCGTTTTGTTTCTCCATTTTAACCAATCATTCATTTTCCTCTGTGCTCAAAACAAGACATTGGGCGAGTGACCTTCAAGATCGTTTAAATATTAATTATTTGATTCTTTATGCAGTGTTCATTTTCAACGAAAATTCTTTCTTGGAAACAGCATAAATACATAATATTTCCTACATCAAAGGAACAGGAAACTTCCCAAGTAAAAAAAAAGTACTCTGAGCTTTATAATATTTTATGGAACGCTATTACATTTAAAAAAAGTGTTACCTGACATGATGGGAGGATAATGTCAGGCGGGATCTATGGGAGATAGGAGTTGAAGGAGACAGGGTCCGGTGGAGGGCTTTGGTTAATTCGGTGATGAACCTTCGGGTTCCATAAGCCATCTAGTTAGTTAGTTAGTTAGTTACTTGACATGTGATAAACAATGTTACGAGCTGTCTGCGTCACGAATAATTTAATGAGCTACCTCATGGTCACCCGCATGGAGTGACAGTCGTCTATGCATTTGCCCTTTGAACCACGAAGTTCGTCTAGTATTTAAGAATCCAGTCCGTACCGCGAAGAAAACACTACACTTCACCATTACGAAGATGAACTGGTTAACGCTGTTTAAGGAAATAATCGCTGTTTACAGTGAGAATCTTACGAAATCCAGGTATCTAAATAATATTTAAAAATTCAGTCCGTACCGCGAAGAAAACACTACACTTCACCATTACGAAGATGAACTGGTTAACGCTGTTTAAGGAAATAATCGCTGTTTACAGTGAGAATCATACGTAACAAATACAAAATGAAGAGTTACTGATTGTTAAAGCAGATGGTACACATAGTTACCACTGGGCTTTAGATGTTTAATTCCATAGGCCTACACATATGATTACACGTACAAATAACTATTAATAGTCAAAGACGTATGAAACGCTGTGAACACCTGTGTGTTACTGTCAGAAAAATTAACATAATTTATGTTGCCGAAATTCATTATGTATCAAGCAGTGTTATTTAAAAATCTGCATCTTTTACGAACAGACTCTCATGTCCTGTGAAGAAAACAAAATTTAATTTATGGTTTGTACATGTTTAATCCCCCACAAAGCTTAAAATACATTTTACCTAACGTATTTATTCCCTGTATCGAATATATCGTTCACATAATATAATCGAAATTCTTGCGACACAAAGAGACGTCTTCCTCCCAAAGTTACGCGCATTTTAAGTTAAATTGCACTAACGAACCTTACGAGATAAAACCATACATATCATGTTAAGACTACAAGCAATATGCTGACTTATATACACTGTAACAACTGTATAATTTTAAGCTCTAGAATTAATAACAAATGTCAGGAGCAATATAACAATTACAGTGGTCACTTTAAACCACAGATATCATTACATGGGTACAAAAATCGAAAAGAAAAATATTTCTTGTACTTTAAATTTGTGGCCTCAGGAACATAATTATATTATAATTAGTCGTTAAAGAGTTACAAATGTTGTGATGTGATAAAATAATACATATCTTAATTACATATACATATCAACGTCATTGCAAAATAACGTCTTTTTCTCTCAATACATTTTTTGATGTAACAAT